TGTGTGTGTGTGTATGTATGTGTGTGTTTGTTTTTTATAAGTTAAAAAAAAATAATTTAGTTAGGAGAAGCTGATTGATACAATAATGATGTCATAGTGCATGTGAAAAACACGCTGACTCAGACACAAAAACAAAAGAGGAAAAGAGAAGCGAAGCGTGACCTACCTGTGCCAACCTCCAAACACCCACAAAGATGTTCAACGTGTTCAACGCTACATGTATAAACAGATGAGTGAAGAACTTTTTTTTTTTCTTTTTTGCTTTTCTTAAACCATCATGTTATGACATGGTAGTTTTGACACATAAAGAGATAGCCGGCCTCTGTGGTGTAGTAGTTAGGCAATTCGCCTTGGCATGCCAAAGACTTGAGTTCGATTCCCCCGTGGAGATATTTTTTTTAATCGAGCATCTCGGTCTGTTCACTGGGTCGTTGTACCCATGTCAGTCTGGATTTGCCTTGATAGGCAAGTTCGAACCCCACCTCCTAAATTGTGTTGATTGAGCAATTAGAAACACCTATGTTTTAAAAAAATGGCCGTTTTGTGGAAATGATTACTTTTCTCTCTTTGTCAAGAGAGAGAGAGAGAGAGAGAGAGAGAGAGAGAGAGAGAGAGAGAGAGAGAGAGAGAGAGAGATTCGGGGGGAGGAGGGGGAGAAGAGAGATTGTTCACAGATAATGGTAACGTTGTTTGTGTTGTTGTTTTTGTTGTTGTTAGTGTTGTTGTTGTTGTCTTTTTAATAAAATAAAATAAATTGCACCTCACAGTAACAGTTTTTTTCAATGTAACAACTGCCTTTGATTAAAAAGAAACATTTTTGGGATTGAAATTACGCTTCTAGTGATGTTTTTCTCCTTAATTCGTAACTAAAAGTGTGATAATGATAGGCATTGGGTGATTAGGACATATGGAATAAAATCAGCAGCAGCAACAACAACAACAACTACAACAACAACAGCAACAGCAACGACAGTCTAAGCCTTATGACCCTCCAGTTATGTGACTCCTTCCTATCGGAGATGGGTGTCAAATTTGCCTCTTAAATTGCTTTACCATGTTTAAAAGAACTTTGGGCCTATACCAGTTCCTTGTCTTTGTAGAGAAATATTGCTCCTCTCTCAGTGGCCCTTAAAATCCCAGGCTAAACTTGGCGAGGGCGCAGAAAATATTTGCCGCCAATGATTCATATTATCGTCTTGTGACAAAGGTATTATGCTAACCCAGATTGTCCCAAAGTTTTGTAGCAATAACTTACTTCTAATTATTATAGTACTGTACCTCAGATGAGCAATTGCTAAAAAAAAAACACACAACTTTTTATGTTTGTTTGTTTGTTATTTTGTTATTTTTATAGTTTAGGTATTTTTTACAACACTGTCGACACAATTGATTATATCGTTTATGAGACGGGTGTCACACACCTTGCTTGTCAGAGACAGTCTAGGCTTAGACGGATACAGCGTTTCGACAGAAAGACCGAGATACTTGACCCCCCCCCCCTCCAAAAATAAAAAATAAAAATTAAAAAAAACCCAAAAAGCAAAAACAAAAACAACAACAAAAACTCAACCTGAACGGGAATGGAACTCAAGTCGTTTGCGTGGGATGGCGGAGCGCCTAACTCACCACTAGATCTATACTGCAGACACCGGTAAAAGAACGGTGAACTACACAATTTCTCTAATAGTTTTTTTATAATCTCTAATGCGACTAACCCTTTCCATGAAACTTTAAAAGGAATCCCCCCCCCCCCAACATAAGAAACAAAATTAAAAAACGAATAGATGAAGATAGATCACCAGATTTTGGGTCTGAACAGAAAGTCATGTTAATGGGATGCTGTTAGTTTGGGGGGGGGGGTATTTTTTGTAAAGCACACAGTCCAGAGCTTGTGTTCTACATTTTATAAATGGCAAATCCAAATTATTGTATTAAAAAGTAGAATATATGGACAACATGAGCCTCAGAGTGGACATTGTAAGGATAAGTAAATACTTACGAGCCTTTGCTCAACGGAACAGTGCCGGAGAAGACGACCGGTATATCCCTCACTCCTGGAGTTCTGGGACCATCGAAGACCTGATTCTGGGAGGACAACCCGGAGACACGATCAGCCGAGTGCACAAATTACTCGTCAAAACAGACTTTTTGAAACAAAGAGTCGACCCTCATGAAACTGGAAAAGAACAATGTCAAAATGGAGTGGCCGCAAAACGTGACAGATTTGAAACGACGTCTTTGGAGACAGATTATGCACAGTGGGTTGTATCTTGACACGTGAAGCGATATTATGTCCTGTGCACGCAATTTCCACGAAGCAGAAACATCGCTGAATCGCCAGGTAGGTTGACACAGATTACTGTAGGTCCGAAATGTATAAACAAAATTCTGCTACGTTGTTATCCTCCGAACTTTACTGTCTACAGGTCTTGTGTTTGACAGACTGCCTTAATCCCTGCATGGCGGAACGCCGGGTGTGTACGCTCTCACGTTTCAGAAAACCAAATTTTGAATCGTTACTACGTTTCTCGAGAGTAGAGAAAGTTTTACCGTCACGTCACTTAGAGCGAATCAGAGAACGAAGTCTTGTTTTCTTCGCTTTGAGCAACGAAGTGCGTTGTCACAAGTCAAAGAAACGATAGTAACCACAACGGCATCATTAGAAATATGTTGTGTCGAATTGAGCTGGGTGTTTGTGTGGAGAAATCAGTCACAGCGTGTCCATCCACACTTATGGGTAGTTGTCACCGGCCGTGATATCTTTGAACTGAGGAGAAATTCCAACGAGTGACGTCCCGAGCTGAGGGACAGGCGTGAGGACGAGCGAATCTCTCAGTCCAATACGAAGAGCGGGCGGGGTAGGAATACAGAGGTGGTGGTGGTGGTGGTGTTTTTGTGGGGGGTGAAGAAAAAAAGGAGGAGGGGAGAAGAGGAGAGGGGGTAGGGGGCAGGTCGTTAGCATCGTTTGTTGACGAATTCTGAGAGAAAGGAAAGCGATCAGAAATGATTAAATCGTGTCACAGCGACAACGGATTCCTTATATGGGCGGGGGGTGAGGGGAGGAGGGGGGAGAGGGGAGGAGAAGGAGGGGGGTTAGCGATTCTCACAAGTGCGCCAGGATTTGCCGCCGCGGAGACGCCAGGGACATGTGTGGTAGGAGGGAGCGGGGGGACACAACTCCACCAGGCCACGCCCACAAATGCCAGAATAGGCGGGAAGGGGACGGCGAGCGGGTCCGGACGGAGCGCTGTGATTGGCTGCGGCGGCGGGGCAAATATTGGAGCGGTCAATATCTTCCGCTGGGCTTCCCCCCGGAGGGTCAGAGCGGCGGGGAGCTAACTAACGGCTTCCCGATAACGTTCAGGAGGGCTTACACAGGGCCGGGCGCGCGCGGTCACACTGCTGGTAATTATTATTGGTCTCAACGCTTTGAGCGACCGCGGAACCAATTTCTTAGCGGGCCAAATAACAAATGTTCAAATAGTTTAAACTCCTTTTTCAAAGGACACAATGATATATCCGCTCCTGCCTCTTCACGCACGCATCAGCTGAGGGTTATAAAGCTTTTTGTTGTCGTTTTTTAGCTTTTTAGTTTTCAGCCCATTTGTCTGCCAGTCGGTTGGAAGGATATCTTAATTGTACATCACTTCATCACCGCCTACACTTCTTCTTCTTGTTCTTGTTCTTGTTCTTGTTCTTGTTCTTGTTCTTGTTCTTGTTCTTCTTCTTCTTCTTCTTCTTCTTCTTCTTCTTCTTCTTCTTCTTCTCTCG